GTGAGTTCATTAGTTGACCCCGCATTCAAATCCAGTTTATGTATCCAATACTTTAGAGAGTTCTGGGCAATGTGCTAGACTTGCTTAATGTTAGTGACTGTTTACTTGACTGTTCTGTTGGGTTATACATTATTTAAATCAAATAAACGGATCAAGTGATCTTTCACCTGCCTTCATTAATTTCGAAAAATCTAAAATTTTCTAAACCCAAATTTGAGCTGAAGGTTGAAATTTTCTGTGTGGATCATAAAACACGTAGTTAATAATTGTTGCAAATTTGGAGACGTTCCAGTGACTTTCAAAAGAGAAATCATGAAAAAACCGTTTGTTCATAAATTTCTGGCCACTACTGTACCTACACCTGGGTCTAATACAGTCAATCGAACATACGTCAAATGCCATCACAGTTGGCCTGCGGAATACTTGCGGCTATGCAATTCATACAGCGATGATGAAACAAAAAGAATTAGTGCTGCCATGAGGAGGTGGTATGAAAATAATTCCAAATAATTCCAAGTCGGGAACTCCTTTCAGTGTGTGGAGGTTTTGTGTATAGCCTTAAGCTTGGCACTATTCCAGATATGGACAACATATAGCCTATTTATATGTGGTTTGTGTCTTTTTTCCGTCCTGTACGCTCACAATTGCTTGCTGAGTTGACGATTTGAATCGCAATAGGTCTTTAAACAGAAGATAATGAACAGTCTAGTAACGCTGATTCATTGTGAACCACTATTGGCAGGTGGTAGGCTTCTCTTCTTGTCGGCTCGTGAATGGTGATGGGAGCATTCATTGCATGAGGACCTGATCATGATCCGCGATCTGGTGATAAAAAGGGACAAAGCAGTTGCCCCTGAAGCGCTTCGAAATCTGTGGAGCTACCGTCTGTTGGAGGTAGTTATGAAAATTGGAAGGGTTGATAGTCTGTTTCATGATGAAGTTACAGACGTCGTGCATTTGTAGACGTTGCATCTCGAGAGCTGCGATCTAAGTGATCAGGACCTCGAAAGCATTCGTCCGGGCTCCACTTGCGTCAAATATGTCTGCCTTCGCAATAACCAGCTGGTTCACCCTTGGTCGACATTAGCGAAAAATTTCCCAGCTCTCAATTATCTGGACTGCAGAGAGAACAGGTGCTTTGATGTTTCCACAACACTCACCTATTTTGCCTGCCTAAGCGTAAGCGGGTGTTGCTTCAGGTGGTTGACAATGGATCTGAGCGCCATGAAAGGATCACAGCTCGCCCACATGGAGCAATTGTTTTTGAGCAGGCCTGTGTCACTGTACACATTTTGGAGGTTCTCACGTTGAAATTGCTTCCTTGACTCCGATAACATGTCGTTGTTCAGGTGTGCGGCTGAGGTTCGGGAAGTGTTCCCGAAGCTCTCCGATATTATTACTTCGATTACGAACTTTCCCTTCATAACCGCTAACTCTGAGGGGAATGGGAATCAAGCTCCGACTGATCTTCCACAGCAACTCTCCCGGAAAACGGCTTCTGATAAGGATTGACTCGTTTGTGTTCGGATGAATAAACCTGTATCACCTGTTTCACCCTCTGAGACTTTCGTGCGACCCCCACAATCCGGAACCCACAATTTGCGACCAGTGAGCCCACCCCCCTTAGAAACCCACTACCGACCGGACCAGTTCGCATACGGTTGCACGCGTGGCATCCCATATCTTGGCGGATCGACATCGCCGCCGGGCATCATGCATGCATTTTCTTGAATTATTCATCTTCACCGAGGTTTTTGTAACATTACTTTCTTATTGTTAGTGTGTTGCTTCATGTTCTTTTTGTTACGTTGACCAGTAAGTGGCGAAACAGACTGGAGCAACAAAAAAGGCCAACGAAAAGAACCCTCTAAAATGAAACGCACGAAAATGAAATAAACCCAAAACGCATAGATCGAAATTAACACATTGACGACAACCTTAATCTCCTATTACTCCGCCACGCTGTCTCCAGCTCTTCACTGCAAGCACCTTGGTGAAATATGAAAATGGCAGACATTATATTTTCACACTACTGTAGTACTGTTCTCAAAGCAGTCCGTCCCACTCTCTTCTTTCTCTCTCTCCCCCCCTCACTCCTGCCCTATCTCCTTTCCGCCATTCTGCCCTCCCTCACCACATAATGGACGTAAAGACATGTCAAGCAAACAAACACACCAAAAATCCTGACTTAAAAAATGGAGTGATTCTTGGAAATTTAGCACTCCTCCTTCAATAAATCGTCAATAGTAAATAGAAGACCCAGTAATGAAGTTGGACAACCTCCTGACATGGAAGAGACGAAGTGAATCCACAAAACAATAACCCGTCGCATGACATGTTGTCGTCAGTGCATTAAATAACAAATAATTTCATACCTGAAAGCAACCAAAAGAAAGTTTAAGTAAAGCAATCTGACCGTCAGAAGGTAAGATTCCGCTGAATTCCAAAAATCGTCCAGAACTTCCATTGTTACGTCTCACCACCAAAAGCAGATAAATCAAAACGGCAGCATAAACAACCTTCTGTGAAACGCCGGAAACATCAGTGTTTCTGGTGACCTGTTTCTGGTGTTTCTGGTGATGTGACCTGACAACCGATTGCATGTTACGACTACGCAGCATTTTCAAATAGTATCTAACCCACTCGGATGCAAATTAGAAATCCTTGAGTCATCTTACCAGGAACCGCACCCTTCTTCCTGGTTCCGCCCGCAGCCCTCAGCTTCTCTTCCTCGTCAACTCCTTGCTCGCGTTAGCCCCGTCTTCACAATTCCATCACCACTATCTCATCTGCTGACCTCGCACATTCCAAAACCGGAAGCTCCTGCAGCACCATTCAGCGACCTGATATGCTAGGTCCACAAGTGGTGCTGAATAATCGGCGTTATGTATCAGGACATTGTTGATCGAAGCTATGCTCGGACAACTGACTCTACGGGAGACTAAGACTATAAAGCGTCCACCGCCACCGCTTCATTATCTACTTTCTCTAACGGTCTCGGCAATCTTCACTAACGCTCTCGGTGCTCTTTCATCGATGTCGCTGTGAATACCGGAGGCGCGTCCATCCAGTCCATGCGCTATAAAAATACCTACACCTGAGTCCAATACAATCAATTGTTCAATCATCAACAGAAAAAATTGTCAAGCGTTTATTCATCCCCACGGATCTCTTTCACTGAGGGTCCTCTCTCACTGAAAGATCTCGAGCCGGTTGGTGGCGAGGCTACGTGGCGCGACCCCAGGTGGCGGATAGGGGGTAAATCGCGGACCAAAAGCCACCATGTACTTGCCCTGAGACGCAGGTGGATTCAGGGGATGGACTCCCTGTTTCTGCTGTGCTGTGTTGATTCATACCAGCTGTCTCCACTCAGGCGTATCCATGCATGCTTGCGTGTGTGGTGCGCTCTGTGTGTGTGCGGTTGGTATCCTGCATGTCGGCACAGCCAAAAGCTTGCATTCAAGTGACTGGGAAGTACATGGGAGGCGATTCGGGGCCGCCTCCAAGAAATAAGCCCCTTGTTCCGCTCCAGGATAGCGCGGCTAACTACCTGGAGGTCTATCCTAGCCCACACGACAGAGCCTGGCAAGCTACTCGTGTGCCTTCAATATGCCGAAAACAGCAATATGGATGGGCCTCATTCCCCTGAACCTGAGGGAGCCCCCAATACGGCAGCGTTGGGTAGGACCGCTCGGGAGAGGCTGCTAGAATCTCAGGGCCCGGATAGGCTGCCTAAACGAAGAAGGACTAAGATGGCGATCTGTACTTTCAACGCACGAACGCTTGCATCCGAAGCTCACAACATCTTCACGATTGTGGCAAGAAGGCAGAGAGTTTGAAAGTCACCAAGGGACGTCTGTCTCCGGAAACTCTCGAACTGATACGCCAGCGTGGAGCCGCACGAGCTGCAGGCAATCACCGACTCACGTCCGAGCTTGCGAAGCTATGCAGAGAGGCGATAAAGGAAGATCTCAAGGAGCGAAGAGCAGCAGTATTAGCTGAAGCAGCAGAGGCTGGGAGGAGCATCCGCAATGCCCGCCGAAGCTTTGCCAGCTACAAGACCAAGATGACCTGCCTCCGACGTCCAGGATGGAACAGTTACTGCATCCCGAAGGGCAATGGAGAAAGTCATCCACGACTTCTACTCGGATCTCTTCGATAGCCATGTCCATCTGCCTACTTATCAACTGCAACAGGATGGATACGTCGTCCCCTCAGTTCTCTCTTCCGAAGTCCGACACGCCATCAAGTCGGTGAAGAATCGTACAGCACCCGGTCTCGACAGGGTCAAACCGGAACATCTGAAGAATGCGCCGCCAGTCATCATCAAAACTCTGGCTCGACTCTTCACGCGCTACCTGTCGGAATGCAAGGTACCCACTCCGTGGAAAACCAGCAGGACCGTGTTGCTGTACAAGAAGGGAGACCTGGACGACATTGGCAACTATCGCCCAATCTGCCTGCTGTCTGTAATCTACAAGCTATTCACTCGAGTCATCCTTAACAGGATCGGCAGAATACTAGATGAAGGACAGCCATGCGAGCAAGCAGGGTTCCGAAGAGGGTTCAGCACGATCGACCATATCCACACGGTTACGAGACTCATTGAAGTTTCACGGGAGTACAAGATGCCGCTTTGTCTCACGTTCATCGACTTGAAGAAGGCCTTCGACTCTGTGGAGACAGAAGCGGTCATCGAAGCCTTGGGCAACCAGGGCGTCCCTACTCAGTACATCAAGATTCTTCGTGAGCTCTACAGCAACTTTACGACCAGGAATCTCACCATTCTACAAGGAGGTCATCATCGACGTCAAGAGAGGGGTCCGACAGGGCGACACCATCTCGCCCAAACTCTTCAGCGCCGCTCTCGAGAACGTCATGCGTCAACTGGAATGGGAAGACATGGGAGTGAAGGTCGACGGCCGGCAACTACACCACCTTCGTTTTGCTGACGACATCCGAACATCGTTCTTATAACGCCGAACATCGAGCAAGCGGAGCGAATGCTGGCTGATTTCGACTGCGCCTGTGGTAAGGTCTGGTCAGCTGAACCTAACGAAGACGATGTTTATGAGAAACGGATTGGTTCCTGATGCCCCATTCACGCTCAACGGAACGAACATCACCGAATGCTCCAGCTACGTGTACCTAGGTCGGGAAATCAATATGATGAACGATCTAGCTCCAGAGCTGAGCAGGAGGAAACGAGCGGCTTGGGGAGCGTACAAGAACATCGAGGGAGTAGTGAAGAAGACGAAGAACATCCGGCTCCGTGCCCACCTCTTCGATTCCGCTGTCCTTCCTGCCCTAACCTACGCCTCAGAGACTTGGACTCTGCGCAGGCAGGACGAGCATGCGGTCAGCGTTATCCAACGCGCTGTCGAGAGGACGATGCTAGGAGTAACCCTATACACGCAAGTGCAGAGGGGAATCCGGAGTGCCGAACTACGCCAACGATCGAAGATCAGGGACGCTGCCGTTTTCGCCAAGGAATCGAAGATAAGGTGGGCCGGACACGTCATGCGATTTTGCGATGACCGTTGGACCAGAGCGGTTACCGACTGGATCCCTCGGGACGTCAAACGAACACCTGGACGACCGCCGGCCCGATGGTCAGACTTCTTCACGAAAGCTCTGAACGAAAGGAATGATGGACTTCGTGTCCCTCGAGCAAGGAGGATCCACTGGACCACCCTAGCACGCGACAGGGACGAATGGAGACGTTGCTGGCGCCCGCTCGAGCAAATCGACGATCAACGGGACGACAGGTGATCACAGG